AATAAAAATGGTCCTTGCTGTTCCCACCGACCCCATGATCTTTGTGAAGATACAAATAAACAAGAAGAAAATAAAGTCACTCTCAGTGCCAAAGATAACTGTTTTACTAAGTTACCTTATGGACCTTTCCTTTCTATGGATTTCAGTTTTTAAAATGGGAACATTAGCTCAGTGACCACAAAGGTTTGTTGCCTACTTTTCCACGCAGCAAACTGTGGACACGTCAACACAGTCAGGCAGCCCGCCCCGGACAGCCACGTCCTTAGGAAAAGCAGAAGGACCCCCAGACAGGCCAGGGGTCCAAGGAGGACAAGTCCCAACAGATTATCAGACACCGGTCTCTCGACGGTGATGACTCACACATCGCCTGTCCTGGACGACACATGTCCGTCGTGCAGCAGGAGCATCGCACACCAGGCTGGCTTTTGAAACTGCACAGCGCCCCCCCGCACCGTGCATGCACACACAACACCCCTGTGCACATGACCACACAGGACCACAGGTCTCGACCCGGTAGGGGCAACGCAAAGACGAGCTGACCTTCTGTGTTCTCTTCCGCATGCTTCTCCCCGCTTCCCTGTATCTGACTCGGGTGTCGTGAGCAGTGGCCATGCCGCCCGCCACCGCCCGGCCCCATGTGCTCACTCCAGCGGGAGGGGTGGTGCTGCCCTCGGAGGAAGCTGCACAGCACGAGGTGCACCACGGTGGTGGTCTCGTCGGCACTCTTTCCCAGCGTCTTCATCAGCTGCTGCAGGTCACTGTGGATGTGCTCCTGCAGAAAGCCTCTGGGATCCTGCACCAGAGGCTTGATGATGTCCCTGAGAGCCTGCGAGGGCCAGAGACACAAGATCTCGTCTGTCGGGAGCCAGCGCGCCCGCGCAGGCCCCAAGAAGGAAAGCCAGCCCCGAGTCCGAGGCCGCTTCTCAGAGGATGCTCGTGGGGCGGCGGGAGCACCGCTCAAGCAGAGGAGGCGAGAGCACCAGGAGCGACCGAGGTCTGGGAATGACCGCCTTTGACATCGTCAGCACGAAACGGTCTCACTGCCCTGTTCTTAACTCGTCAAAACCACAGTGTACAACCGCCTCTCAAGTAATGTCTTCCGTCATCAAGATGCGTGTTTGTAAGCTTACGTGGGAACAGCCTCATCTCTAACCCATTAAAGCTACACTGTGTACAAACCTGAAAATAAAGGAATGTCAAAGCCTCGACATTTGCTATCACGGTTAATCCACTCAGAGGAGACACAGTGTGCTTTCTTTCCCGGAGCTAGCCTCTCCGCTCCTAGGTGTGCACTGAGACATGGAGTGCTCATTTAAGATGGATTTTAGGGGCGTCCGCGTGGCTCAGTCGGTTGAGCGTCTGCCTCTTGGTTTTGGCTCAGGTCACGATCTCAGGGTCGTGGGATCAAGCCCCATGCATGTCAGGCTCTGTGCTCAGTGTGGTGTCTGCTTGCGATTCTCCCTCTCCCTCTGCCCTTCTCCTCTGTTCCCTCTCTCTCTAAATAAATAAAAATCTTAAAAAGAAAACGGATTTTATGTAACCTGACGGGTAGTTCCCCGACACCATCATAGGCCACAGCGGGAAATGAGGATGTGTGCATGTTCTATTGCTCTGTGGATTAGGGAACAGTGACAGGGGAGGTATCCTAATCCACGGGAGGTGGTCAGCACTCTGCAGACAAAAGGACTCACTGTGAAAACCTACAGTGGGTTGTTAGAAACAAACGCGCAAACACATGGCCTGGCAGGAATAGGCCGTGCTCTACCTGAGGACTCTGGGCGGCTCCCAGGAGCAGGGCCAGGTGAGTGAGCAACCGGATGAGCAGGAAGACCACTGGGGACAGCTTTCGGTCAGAGACCACCACCGCTTTGCCTCTGGACAGTGGGGCTCCCAGCACGTGGCCAGTCTGCGTTCTGTCTCTGTCGTTACTGGAGAGAACGAGAGAAGACGGTGGAGACTGAAGACAGCCATTCCTCCTCAGCCCTTGGGGCACACCTCAGGTTCCTGGGACTTGAGACGAGGTTTGCCATTCTGAAGAAAACGGTGTTGCAGGACTTTTTCTCGTAAGCCCAGACCTCTCGCCTCAGGGTCTTCTGTCCAGCCTCCCCTTCCTGGCTGAACACAGCCCACTCCATTCTGTGTGAAGCGGCTGAACCGACTGCCTATTTGTGCGATCCCCGGGCCGCGTGTCAGGACAAGGTCTGCACCTGCGTCTCCCACTGAAATCATCACGGGGAGGGGAGCAGGCAGGCTAAGGAAGGCCTGAGTTTGGGACGGGTGACATCGACATCGGGATGTGTGTACATCGATCTCATTTTCCCAAACTGAAAACTGGGACTGAAGGTCTGGCAAAGAATTTCATATCACATCCAGATGGGAGGTGCAGTATGATAAATACATTCTGTTGCAAAAATACTGGAGGTTCTAGAACATTCTGATGGTTTGTGGAGATAACAGACTAGGGTATTTTAAACTATAACAGCACCAGAAGAGCCTAAATGTGGGAGGCCCCACCTGCCATCTGGGGGAGCTCGGGGAACCACACTCTTCTCGAGGGAAGGCTGGGATAGGGACACAAGCTATGCATGTGGATTCTGGAGTGTCTGGTAAGAAGGACCGTGTCTCCTTCACTTCCCGCAAACAGTGGAGGAAGTTAAGAGAGTTTACAAGTGAGACAGCGTGAGCTCAGATAGACAAAAGCCTAGTTTGTGGCTCTGCGGACTTCAATGTCCCTCTGAATTAAGTCAATTGTGTGTGTCAAGCATATTTCTACAGGGGCACGCCCCAGGCCCACATGGAAGACATCTGGATAAGACGTATTAACGTGTGGTCTGCTCTGCATTTAAGAGCCCAGTCAGCCAACGACAGATCAGACACCTCCCTGTGACATGACCACAGGGACCTCGGCACTGAGACCCAACGTGACATAGGCCCAAGTGCGTAACAGTAATTAATACTGCACTTAGCAACAACGTATCCACTGGAATAAAGACAGCCCAAAAAACCCATGGTTTGATCACTTAGAAAAGAAATACGTTCTTACATACTTGATAACCTGAAATCCAGTCTCAGGTCTGTGATTAATCCCTCCAATTAGGGCACCGCAGTCAACACAATGGCTCTGTTCCATTGGCCTGCCGCACTAGGACAAAGACAAACGTGCCTGAGCTCGTTTTGGAGGAGTAGCGCTTCATGCACACACACCACCCTGGTAGGCCAATCCACACGTGGCACGTGGATTGCTTGTTCTACTTTGAGCATGTGCCAGCGACTGCAGGAGCCCCAGGACACAGGGCAGATGCTCTGTGCAAATATGGTGCACGTGAGTGAATGTGGACTTTTTAAGCAGGAGAGACAACATGAGTTTTACTCCCAAATAGACGCTTTGTAGACAAATACGAAATCAGCCTTCCTTTCTCACGTTCTCTGCTCTTCCCCGCCCCCCTGACCACCGCACCACAGCTTCATTATTTAGCGCCCGGAAACTACCGCAGCCTCCAAATTTAATTCCTGAACTCAGTTTGGACTTTTTTATTAAAAAAAAAAAAAAAAAGGTAACCATATGTTTGGCTCCTTCCAAAGCCTCATTTTTCCAAATCTGGTTGTGGGCTGCTGTATACTGAGAATCACAGCCTGTAACAGGCCAAACCAGCCTCAAGCCCCAGATCTCAGACCATCAGAGTGGAGAGAAGTCTCGGGAAGAATGTGCTTCACTCTCCCCACTTCGTGGACGAGGAAGTGGGCGAAGCTCATACACATGCAGTGTATATATATTGCCTTTCCTCCTCTAGGTCTCTCATTTACTTTGTACAATTCAACAGCCTGCCACTGGGCAAACAGAGGAGACACGTCGGAGGGCCCCGCCAGATGCTGCAGGAGGCGGAGGTGAGGCGCACACAGCTCTCTCCGCCGGGGTTTACCATCCAGAGTCTCTTTTTCCTGTCCTGTGGTGTCTAGAGCACATCTCCTCTGATCCAGCCTATAGGCCAGTCAACCTCTTGCATGTCTCACTGACCCCACGCGGCAGTGGCTGGGAAGGATGGCTAGTAGTAGTTTTGTTTCCGAGAGGGACTTTTGCAATGTCTGGACACATTTTTGGTTGTCACCCTGGCGACCTGTGGAGCTGCTGGCCTCTGGGAGTTGAGACCAGGAATGCTGCTCAGCGCCCTACCATAGCCCACAGTGCTCAGGACAGCCCCACAATACAGAGGAAGGTCTGCAGGCCCTCTGCACGGTTTAGATGTTTGGTTGGAGCACCGTAAACAGCGCTGAAAAGAGTCTATGTTCTCTAGAAGGTCATGACCCTCAGTAACCTCTTCCCCCGTGCCCCCCTGCTCAGATCTAGAGGGACAAACTTTTGAGCCCTGCAAACACCACCCTAAATACCAAGACTCACCTCTCCCACAGAGCACGGGTGACCATTGGGACATCCTGTTAAAAGAACAACAGGAGACATGTTGGCTGGTGAGGTTTTACCTAATGATCCGAGGTTAAGAAAGAAAGCCAACGCTCTCCTCTCCGGCCTAACCAAACAAAACACAGAGTACTGGTCCTGAGCACGTTAGTGAAAACTATACGTGAGCTTCATCTGACAGAGCAGGGAGAAACCCCGTTACAGTCTCCTGCAGGGGCTGCTCTGGGAGGCAGCGTCAGCCTATTTTATACTCTCTCTTTCTCTTTGATTTTTTGTTTTTAAAGAGCATGGGTTTTTAAAAAGATTTCATTATTTATTATATCAAGAAAGAGAGAAAGAGAGAGAGAGCATGCAAGTGGGGGGAGGGAGGGGCAGAGGCTGAGGGAGAATCTCAAGCAGACTCTGTGCTGAGTGGGGAGCCCAACGCGGGACTGGATCCCAGGATCCTGAGATCATGACCTGAGCCAAAACCAAGAGTCAGACGCTTCATCAACTGAGCCACCCAGGCGCCCCAAGAGCGTGTTTTAGAACAACTTTTACAATTAGTTTAAAAGGATTATTTGCTCAGGGGCACCTGACTGGCTCAGTTGGAGGAGCATGCGACTCTTGATCTTGGAATTGGGGGTTCCAGCCCCACGTTACGTGTAGAGATTACTAAAAAAAATAAATAAACTTAAAAAAAAAAAAAAGAGGGAACCTGGCTTTGTTTAAAAAAATAAATAAAAATTAAAAAAAAGAAAAAGATTATTTTCTCAGGCAACAGCAAAGTTTACATAGAGTACGGGTTACATTACTTGGGCTCCTAGTTCTGTATTTCAAAAAGAATTATCTTTGGGTCAAAAACTTGGTTGAGCTGGCCCCTGCCTGAGCCACTGGTGAGGCTCACATCAGGCAAAAGAAGTGTATGCCATGCGGATCCTCCCCCGGGACGGGACTCAGGAAGGGCCTGACACACGTCCTCTGCGGTCAGCAGGGCGCCCTGTTCTGCAAAAGCCCCAACGGTGGCACAAGGCAGGCGTCTGGGACCTTCAGGCACAAACCACGGGGACCCCAGTTCAAAGCACAGAGGACGGTGACCCCGTCTCAGAATCTGACACTTACTGTACCAGCGGACTCCTTCCAGACCCTTCCAGTTCCGAGCTTGAGCCAGCAAGTCTTCGGGCATCGTTGGAAGATAAGCACTCTGAAAAGCCAAGAAAGCAGAGAAGGCTTCAGCAAGGTGAGAGACTGGGCTGGCTGCCACTGCCCTGGGGCGACAAGGTGGACTCTGGACTCTCCCTCTTCTCCACCTGCAAGTTCTCCACTGGGAAAACAGAACGAGGGCTCTCACTGTCACTGTGGACTCGGGTGTCAGGTGGGACAGAGGCAGAGGAGCTATGAGACAGGCAGTTTCAACAGGTGCCCAGGGACAGGCCACCAGAGAAACCGCGCCCCGGTCTTACCACCATGTCGGCCGGGGAGAAGGCCAGATTCTGCAGGGGTTCCAAGACTTCGCTGTGTCCACACAGGAGGACAATCGCAGCGTGAATAGCCAGTTCTGCCACTGTGCCCTCGAGGCTGCTGTCCCCGGCACCCATCCTCAGCAGGGGCAGCGTGTTGGTCACAAGGGATGTTGCAAAATGTCTCATGTCTGGAGAAGACAGGACCTTGCTTTCCTCGATGAACCTGTTCAGAGCCTCACATTGCTGATGGGAAAAAATGTTTTAATATTGAAAAATATATCAAAGAAGAATATGATGTGAAGCCAAACGTTTGCTCTTACGCCAGGCATATACGTTGACATGAACACTTATCAAATATGGTTCGAGGGGCAATTATCCAGACAAGAGCATTTCCACCTGCAAGCACAGCACCACACACCGAGCACTAACGCCAACAGTTTCTCAAGTTCTTGACTTTGTTCTTCATCATAATTCTGAGAGTTCTGGGTGACACAGCAAGTCGCTCCTCCACATAAGAAAGTTGAGGGGCGCCTGGGGGGCTCAGCTGGCTGAGCGTCAGACTCTTGATTTTGGCTCAGGTCATGATCTCAGGGTCATGAGATGGAGTCCTGCATCAGGCTCCCCACTCGGCGCAGAGTCTGCTTCAGATTCTCCCTCTCCCTCTGCCCCTCCCCCACTCTCTAAAATAAATAAATCTTAAAAAAAAAGTAAGTTGAGAACCCCCATCCTAGATAAAAAAAAAATTATGGGCATAATTTGTTTATGGCTTTTACTTCTATTCAGAAAAGCCCCTCCAGATCCAGAGATGATGAGCACCACCCTGAATGCAGACACTCACCTCTGGCTTAGGATGGAGGTTTGTGTCTCGCAATCGGTACAAAGTAGCAACCTCTCTGAACAGCACTAACAGTAAGTGGGCCGCCTGCCGAGGGCCGGGGTTCCTACAGACCTGAAGCAAAAAGCGCAGACCCCAGTGAGGCTTGCAGCCATTCCACACGTCCGCCTGAGGGCCAAGAGTCCTGCTGGTTCAGCTCTTCAACCAGCGGGAGGCCGGCGAGCCTTTCCCGAGATCTGGATGCCCACCACCCTGCACCTCTGAGACCATGAGGCTTATAAACATTCTGCTGTGAAGTTACCACATCACTTAGGACACAAGTAACAGAAATCACAGTCTATTTTTCTGACCACTTTGCCATTCCTTGAAACTTCTGCTGAGCAGAAAAGGCTGTTTATTTACTTCCTCGCTTCCTGGCACAGTGCCATGGTAAACAGGGACTCAAAGAGGAAGCAAGACCAGAACTGCTTAAAAATTAGATGCTCAAGCCATCAAAAGGAATGAGATCTTGCCATTTGCAACGACGTGGATGGAACTGGAGGGTTTTATGTTGAGCGAAATAAGTCAAACAGAGAAAGACATGTATCATATGACCTCACTGATATGAGGAATTCTTAATCGCAGGAAACAAACTGAGGGTTGCTGGAGTGGGGGGTGAGGTGGGAGAGATGGGGTGACTGGGTGATAGACACTGGGGAGGGTATGTGCTCTGGTAAGCGCTGTGAATTGTGCAAGACTGTTGAATCTCAGATCTGTACCTCTGAAACAAATAATGCAATATATGTTAAGAAAAAAAAAAAAAGGTAGCAGGAGGGGAAGACTGAAGGGGGAGAAATTGGAGGGGTAGACGAACCATGAGAGACGACGGACTCTGAAAAACAAACTGAGGGTTCTAGAGGGGAGGGGGGTGGGAGGATGGGTTAGCCTGGTGGTGGGTATTGAGGAGGGCACGTTCTGCATGGAGCACTGGGTGTTATGCACAAACAATGAATCATGGAACACTTCATCTAGAACTAATGATGTAATGTATGGGGATTAACATAAGAATAAAAAAATTTAAAAAAAAATTAGATGCTAAAAACCCTGCCCCTTTATGAAAATAAACACCCCCATCAGCATGGTCAGGAATCCAGGGAAGGAATTTCCCCAGTGCTGTTCGCGTGTCTGCCATCAGGGTGACATCGGAGGAAGTGAGGCTCCAGCAGGGTCTCAAAGGAAGTAACACATGTGAGCACTTAGGAGGGAGCTGCTGAAGGCCCTGGCCTGGCAGGCTAGCAGGTCGAGCAAATCTGTCCCCTAACTCCGTTGCTAATGGCCTCTTGTTTCATTCAGCCAGGCACACTTGAGGCTGTGGACACATGATGCCCAACATGGCATGTCGCCCTGGGGTGCCTCTTCCACTGGGTCATTTGACACTAACGAGGCAGATGCAGGCTCTAAGGGGCGCCATTTGGTGCAGAGGGAGGCCTGGGGCCTGTCTTACCTTTGGACCAGCCACAGTAGCCAGGGACTTGCACTCAAGGACAGCTTTGCCCACTGCATCACGAAGAGCCTTATATTCATCACCATGCACCAGGTATGGGTCCATCTGGCTTGGATGATCCTCCTGCAAAGCCCAGGAACACAGGGGTTAATCACAGGGGAGGGGGCAAGGGCAGGGTTAGCAAAGAACCATCTGGAAAGGTAAAGGACCCGGGTAACTGTTAGAGGTCCAGCCCTGGGCATGACAGTCCCCTGCTGTGTTGGGAGGTGCCTCCCCCTCGTCCAGTGAAGGGGTGAGTGGGTGAGAAACGGGGGGAGGAGGCAGCGCTGACCCTGTCCCCACCGAGAGCAGAGACCAAAGGCAGGTGACTGCAGTATGTTGACAATACGCTCCCATCAGGAGTAAAAAGGAAAACCAGGATTTTTAGTGCAATTGTTATAACCCCAAGAAAGGACTACAGAGTGACCCCCAAGCCTAAATTGCTACACTTCTATTATCCTCATTCTCATGCTTCCTACCTCTGCCTGCTGAGGAGAGAAAGGACTTCTGCAAGCTGAATTACCTTTTTTTTTTTTTTTAAAGATGTTATTTATTTGTCAGAGAGAGAGAGCATAAGCAGGGGAAGCGGTGGGGGCAGAGGGAGAAGGAGAAGCAGACTCCCCGCGGAGCAGGGAGCCTGATACGGGGCTGGATTCCAGGACCTGAGATCATGACCTGAGCCGAAGGCAGACGCTTAACTGACCGAGCCGCCTAGGCGTCCCAAACTGAGTTACTTTTAATTTGGTAAAAGCAAAAGCCACAGAATCGTTCTTTGGCTTTCCCCACATCAAACTGGATCAGAAGCGGTGCCTTAAAGAGGCTTTTCTGCAGACAGCCGACAAAGCAGAAGCACATGCACACACCTGTCCCCCACGGCCAGCCGGCCGCCTCCAGCCCATCACAAGCTGGCTCAGGTTAACCAAAGCAGAGACACAAGGACCAGAGCAGCCACGGGGCAGGGGGGGTGGGGGGGAAGGTCAGGTGTCCTCACCTGCTGTACCACAGCCTCCTGGGGGAGCACCCACTGCGCCGGCTGGCCCTGTCTGCAGAGACGCTGCACAAACTCCATCCCTCGCTGGCTGGCGAGCTTCCTCACCAGGTACACTCGGTACCAGTCGTTCCTCCCTTGCCTGCAGAAGCGCTCCACCTGCTGCAGGTAGCCCTGCTTCTCCCTGACCAGTTCTGCAGAGCCTGAGAGAGGGGGGAGGGATGGTGGCCGAGAAGACCTGCTGCCCGCCCGTCTAGGACACAGAGCCAGGCCAAAGGCAGGCGCCCCAGTGGCCACGAGCTCACAGTGAACAAACCAATCAAGGAGAAAGGGGACATGGTATAGACTGGGGTCGCTCTGAGAACTCTCCAAATGTCTGAATCACGGGGTCCCTAAGCCTGGGGTAAAGAAAGGTGCAGAAGGAGACCTGCCTGAGCCCTCCTGAAGCTCGCCGAGGAAGTCAGAAGCCCTGTTGAGACACAGGCGGATCCTGGCCATCTCCTGCAGGTACTCCACCGACGCCTCGCTGGCCGGCTCCGAGCTGCGCCGCCCCAAGTAGGTCCTCAGGAAGACCCCTTCCTCCCTCAGGTACGTCAGCTCCTCGCTGGTAGACAGAGCACTAGTCTTCTTGTACAGTGAATCCTAGGGAACAAAGAACCAGAAAAAAAAGCATGCACATCCCCAACCTTCCCAAATCTCTACCCTGTGACGGTGGAGAACAAGATAGAAATACCATAAGCTTGAGGGTAACTGTACTGAATCATGGCAAAAGAACATCCCTTTTTGGGTGGGGGCAAGAAGGAGGGGAAGAGAAAACGTATGAGAAAAAAACACGTCATATGATCTAATTTTCTCACACACCTGGCAAAATTTTGGGAAGTAACAAAACAGGGAGAATAAAAGCGAAAAGCAGTCCTAGGCTTGCCAGCTGGAGATGAGCACAGTTAAGTTAGGGGGCGAGTTTCTGTTCTCTGGCCCAGGCCACGTGTGGCAGGACACACAGCCACGGGGGGCAGAAGCAAGTGTGCAGGACCCCTTTGTGTGCGTGCATGTAGCAGTGCACCTGTTCATTTCACCGATGAAAATCACCTTCCGTGAATCTTCAGAGGCATTTTTCCACTGAATCAACCACACGGTGCAGTGAGTTTGGGGGAGTCGTGCAGGGCAGTTACGGCGCACTCACCTCCAGGCAGCTGATGAAGAGGATGTACAGCTCGGTTTTGTCTTCAGTTACCAGGGCCTTCTCCTCCAACAGGGACAAGTAAGCCTGGATATAATCTTTTACTTCCTGGAAGCTATGGAAAGAGAAATAGGGTACCTGGTGATCTCTGTACCAGAAAAAAAGAGAGAGAAAGAAAGTATCTGTCTACCTACCTACCTATCCATCTCCCTCTATCTCCCCATATAAATATATACATACCCACATAGATATATACATATAGCTTGTAACACTTTATTGAAAACGTTTTATTTTTATTTACTTATTTTTAAAGATTTTATTTATTGACTTGACAGAGAGACAGCACAAGCAGGGGGAGCGGCAGGCAGAGGGAGAAGCAGGCTCCCCACTAAACAGGGAGCCCGATGCGGGGCTCGATCCCAGGACCCCAGGATCATGACCTGAGCTGAATGAAGGCAGATACTCAACTGACTGAGACACCCAGGTGCCCCTGCTGAAAATATTTTAGTGCAATATTGGAGGAATACAAAATTCCATATTTTAGACCATCTGTTCTCAGACTTTTTGGTTTCAGAGCTCCTTTAGAGTCTTAAAAATTGTTGAGAACCCCAAAAAGCTTTTGTTTATGTGGGTTGAATCTATCAATATTTATGACAGTAGAAATTAAAACTGAAAAAAGGGAAAATATTTATCAACTCATTTAATATATAAACCCATTACATGTTAAAAACAAATAACATTTTAAAAAAAACCAAACTATTTTCCAAAACAAAAATTAATTAGTAAGAAGAGGGGCTTTGTTTTCCATCCATGCAGATCTCTTTAACGCCTGGTTTAGCAGAACTTAGCTGGACTTTCCAATCTTGCTCCTGCTTCCTGTGACAGTGAAGTAGATGAAGAAAATCTGGTCTCATACATTATGTCGTTGGAAAAGAAAGATATATTTTCATAGTATTTCCAGATGATGGTGAATATTTTTCTTTGACACAATACCAAAACTTGATAAATGATCATTTCTATAGGTTAGTTGCAATGTGCAATCTGAGACCACATCAATGCACTTTTCATACTCAATTACATTAAAATCAAATGACCTACCTTGCACTTGAATGGATTTTTTTTAACGTAATGCGTGATTCTGTGACATCATGCATTGGTCATGTGGAAAATATTGGTTCACTGAGCTATGCAGATCTTGCAAATGTTGACGTTTTTGTTCCACAAGATATTTTTAAAAGCCTCACCTTCACTCACATCACTGCCTGTACCACCAAAAAGCCTCTAAGTATGAGGAAGCTGATAGGTTTTGTTTTCCAGAATTCCAATATTTGCTTAAAAGCCTCAATTTTATCATTAGCCACAAACACTATCAGTTGCCGCCTTTGCTTGTTTTCGAGAAAATGCCTGCCAAGTGCCCAGCTCTGAATAACTGTGGTGTGCTGGTCATTCTCTCAAGTGTAAAAGCTATTCCATAAAACAAGAGGCCAGCCCAGTGGGGAACTCAAGAATCGCAGGAGAGCTCTTCCTCGAGAAAACTGTTTACTTCAGCGTGCAGCTGGCGCCCTCTGTGTGCGCTTCTCATTTTGACAGGATGTTAAAAAGTCCTGTCCTCAAGGGTGGAGGCTGAGTAAAATGAGTGGTCTCTGTGGCTTCATCTAGAATATTCTTACGTGAGGCTGGCATTTATTAACACTACACATGCACGAAGGTGAGAACCACGAGGGCCGTCACCCAGTTTCCCGGTGCTGGGACTCCAGCAGTGTCCTCCTTCACCGCTTCGGTAACATCACCGTAAGGACCAACGTGTTGAAAAAGGCAAGTACCGGGCGCCTGGGTGGCTCAGTTGGTTAAGCGACTGCCTTCGGCTCAGGTCATGATCCTGGAGTCCCTGGATCGAGTCCCACAGACGGTTCTCGCTCGGGTGCTGTCGACACCCCATCTAAGCAGGAAGTACACAGCTGCAATTCACACTTGGCGGAGGGAGGCACGACCACAAAGTGTGACCGGCCTCCCTCCTGGTGTAGGGTGCAGGCGGCCTGGGGCGTGCGAGCCCAGGGTGGGGGAGCGTGGTGCTCCTCCACAACTCTGTGGCCAGTTAGTGGGCACCACAAACAAAAATGCTCAAACTGCCAGAGTGCGGAAGCAAGTACTTCTCAACCCAGAGAACGACAAGGCAGATCTTAAATCGTGTTTTAGGTCTTGAGATTTTCTTTTTAAAATCACTACTGCGGCTGCCTGGTGGCTCAGGGGGTTAAGCATCTACCTTCAGCTCAGGTCATGATTGTGGGGTCCCGGGATAGGCCCCAAGTCAGGCTCCTTGCTTGGCGGGGAGTCTGCTTCTCCCTCTTATGCTCGTGCTCTCTTTCTCTCTCTCTTACTCCCTCTCTCAAATGAATAAATCTTAAAAATCAAATCAAATCAGTTCTGGGGGCGCTTGGGTGGCTCAGTCAGTTGAGCATCTGATTCTTGATTTTGGCTCAGGTCATGATCACAGGGTTGTCGGATCGAGCCCTGCATCAGCCTCTGGGCTCAGTGGGGAGTGCGCTTGAGATTCTCTCTCTCCCTCTGCTCCTCCCCCACTCCTCTAAAATAAATGCATTTTTAAAAAAATTAAATAAGGGGCGCCTGGGTGGCTCAGTCGGTTAAGCGTCTGCCTTCGGCTCAGGTCATGATCCCAGGGTCCTGGGATCGAGCCCCGCATATGGCTCCCTGCTCAGCGGGAAGCCTGCTTCTCCCTCTCCCAACTCCCCCTGCTTGTGTTCCCGCTCTCGCTGTCTCTCTGTCAAATAAATAAATAAAATCTTTTAAAAAAATAAAAATAAATTAAATAAAAAATGAGTTCTGTAATGTTTAGTCTCTAAATATTGAAGCTTGAAGCATTTACCTTTAAGGGTACTGTCTCTACTCCCGTTAACGTGTCTACTCTACACTACATGTCAAGATGTATGTGTGTCACTGACTACGTTTCCATTTCTCTAAGCAAAGAAATTCAAATGAGTACAGATCTCACACATTTATCAAAATGAGTAAAAATGACATGACATCAAAAGCGGCTCTTTTCAGATCTCAGGTCAACTTGACAAATATGTCTTAAAAACCACTTTAAGGTATACTAAGATACTACTTCTATAATAAAATGTATTTTAAAAGCCGTTTATTTGAAAATCCTTCAGGAATCCTGTTTGAACAGACTATTTCACAAATGATGAAAGTAAAAAAATAAAAAATAAAAAGCAAAACGAAATGTCCATAGATAAGGTTGCAAAAGATCCACACTTTAAATGTAAATCTAACCTTCATTCTGAGTCTGCTTTGGGACACTTAAGTTAGAAATAGTTGTTTCTATTGGAACTTATTTTTTGTTTTTTAATTTGAGAAAGAGAGAAGGAGAGCAGGAGCAGGGGGAGCGGGAGAGGGAGAAGCAGGCTCCTTCAGCAGGGAGCCCGACGAGGGGCTCGACCCCAGGATCTGGAGATCATGACCTGAGCCGAAGGCAGACGCTCAATTGACTGAGCCACCCAGGCGCCCCTGTTGGAACACTTCTTAGAGCATCTTGATTTTGCGATCACCTCAAAGAATGCGTGTCAAGTCAGAACACAGGCCGAGTGTACAAAGTGTCCTCGGAAAGAAGCCTCTGAATAGAGATCAGCTTCCTAAGAATTCTCTGTAATAGCATAATTGGACAAGAGTACTGAGCGTTGGCACCACAGGGGCTTCTCTGTCCGTTCACAGGATCAGAGAAACTGAAACGCTGAAGTGAGACGCAGGTGGCATGCAGGACCACGAAGGTGAGGGGACATTCTCAGTTAGCAGCCCCCGGATCACAGGGCTAGGCAGCTGTGTGAGGAGGCTCAGAACTGCCGGCTCCCGCCCACAGGCTCCCCCACGCATCACAGCACCTCGCTCCTCTCCCTGAAATCTGCTTCCTCCTTGCTAACGAGGTGCTCGTGGTGACGTCGAACTCACGTGCCTAGCGGAGAAGAGGTCAGGCATACAACCAGTATAGAAAAAGGAAGCAGGCGGTCCCTCCTGCAGACGCCCCCCCGCCGAATCCCGAACTACCTACCAGCGCAGGCAAGGGTGCTTGGCAGCAAAGCAGCAGCTGGGAGGGAAGGAGGTGGCGAGGCTTTCTAGGAGCAAACCCCATGCTGGCTGCGCTCACCTGTACTTCAACAGAAGTTTCAGGACCACCGAGCGGATGACAGGGGTCTTATCCACAACGTCATCGAACGGAGAGAGGGATTTGGTGTGTTCACGGTGTCCTTAAGCCAGAGGGAGAGAGGTGGCTCATTTCCCCATCAGCCATGAAGAAGTGAGACGAGGGACTGGATTTTTAGGTCCACAGGAAGGAAGCAACTTACTTTGGGAAGTGTCTCTTAAAAGCTCCTTTTGCACAAAGAGTAACTTTAGCAGAACATCGATCACCTCCTTCTGTGGTGGAGAATTATCTCTGAAGCACACGGTGGAGACCAGGTCCAGGAAGAAACTGTTGCACAGCTGTCGGACACAGGCGTGTTTCTCGATGGCCTCCCTGGGGAATAGTTGGAACGCACGGTCAACAGGCCTGCAGAGCATGCTCCAGAATCCCTGCACACACGGTGCTTCGGGATTTGGACGGCATTCTGCAATGTTCAGTAAAAAGACGCAACCATCTCCTCACACTGACTGAGCCGGATGCACACTGCCGGATGCTATGCAGACTCGTCCCTTTCTAGAAAGGAGCACTTTGGTCCTTGGGACAAGCCAGCAATACCCTTCCATCCTAAAGTCTGCAAAGATGCCGTGCCCTGGGCTGGCTTTGCACACTTTCAGGAGGCATCAGAAGAGAGAGAAGCCACTGCCGGAGCGGAGCTGAAGGTCACTGAGCCCACAGAGCTTCCATTCGTTTCTACCACTGCTCCGAAGAGCGGGGCCAGACAGGAACTAGCTTTGCCCTCAGGGCACTGGAGCCAAACTGGCTGTGTCCTAAGCTCCTTGGGTATCCTGTGATGGTTTTACCTAATTTATGACTTTCAGCTTTATTTCCTCTAATCGTGCCGTCTCCCAAATCTATGCTTGGATGTGTCTTGCAGAGGGAATGATTTTGAGACACTAGGGGTTTATGAAGGTCGCAGTCTCTCTTAGGATGGTTCTCCAAAGTCAGGTTCTCTAAGGTTAATACAGTTTACATTTCTGAATACTGTACTTGCCAAAAAAAAAGGAAGAAAAAGAGGAGAAAGGGTGATTTACCTGTGCTCCTGGGACACGGTTAGAGAGTAGTCTTCTGGCAAGTCTGTTAAACAAAAGGGGCATCTCATCTGCCCTAGGGTGAGCCAGACCTTGATGCAGCTCAAGCAGAACACATGGTCACAGGGCAGGCAGACCGGATCCTGGGCATCTCCCAGGCAGACAGGGCACGGCTCAATCTCAACCCTAGAATCCAAGCAGGGGCACCGGCTCTGAAGCAGAGAAGCGGCTGCGAGCAGCTGCAGACCCCACACGTGCAGCGCTCCCCACCACAGGGATCTCCAACCGAAGATCTCACCTGGCGAGGGTCTTGCTGGCCTGGTCCTTGCACTTACGTAGAGTGCTCATCACTGCGACGAAAGGCCTGTATGTCTTGATGTCAGAGTCGTCCTGCAGACACTGATGGAGAGAGGGGCAGTGATGAGGAGGCTGATGAGCCGTGAGGAAGGGCAAAGGTCAGCCAGGCAAGACCACTCTCCCCCGGGGAACACAGGGCACGCATCGGGCACCCCCCCAGCTGCTGGGCCCTGGGACCACCGGGTCAGCCTGCAGGGCAAGGCCTTTCTGTTTCTAGCAGTTTCTTTAGCTGTGAATGCCCTTTATCATTATGCTGCACTTGGGGTAGGATGAGATTCGCCACTTCTGATTTTTCCCTCTTCCTCTCTTTTTCTCAGGTTCACACTTCTCCCATTATGAGATATTTCAAACTTTTTAATTTCTTTTTTTAAAAATTTAATTATTTGAGAGAAAGCCTGAGAGCACGGGCAGAGGGGAGGGGCAGAGGGAGAGGGAGAAGCAGACTCCCAGCTGAGCAGGGAGCCCGATGTGGGACTCGACCCCAGGACCCTGGGATCCTGACCTGAGCCGAAGGCAGACGCTTTACTGACTGAGCCACTCAGGTGCCCCAAGATATTTCAAACTTTAAACGATAACATAATGCCCACCTGTGTATCCATCACCTAGCTTTAAGAAATCTTACCATTTTTGGAATATCTGTTGTAGACTATTTTTTAAAGAAACAAAACATCACAGATACAGCTGCAACCCCACATGTCCCTTCCTGAGCACACGGCCCTCCTTCCCCTCCCCCAGAGGACCGCCTTCCTGAGCACATGGCCCTCCTTCCCCTCCCCCAGAGGACCGCCTTCCT